GATTAATAGTGTATACACACAGTCTGTCAGTAATACTCATGTCAATGAAAGGTTCACTATCGTGATTAATAGTGTATACACACAGTCTGTCAGTAATACTCATGTCAATGAAAGGTTCACTATCGTGATTAATAGTGTATACACACAGTCTGTCAGTAATACTCATGTCAATGAAAGGTTCACTATCGTGATTAATAGTGTATACACACAGTCTGTCAGTAATACTCATGTCAATGAAAGGTTCACTATCGTGATTAATAGTGTATACACACAGTCTGTCAGTAATACTCATGTCAATGAAAGGTTCACTATCGTGATTAATAGTGTATACACACAGTCTGTCAGTAATACTCATGTCAATGAAAGGTTCACTATCGTGATTAATAGTGTATACACACAGTCTGTCAGTAATACTCATGTCAATGAAAGGTTCACTATCGTGATTAATAGTGTATACACACAGTCTGTCAGTAATACTCATGTCAATGAAAGGTTCACTATCGTGATTAATAGTGTATACACACAGTCTGTCAGTAATACTCATGTCAATGAAAGGTTCACTATCGTGATTAATAGTGTATACACACAGTCTGTCAGTAATACTCATGTCAATGAAAGGTTCACTATCGTGATTAATAGTGTATACACACACTCTGTCAGTAATACTCATGTCAATGAAAGGTTCACTATCGTGATTAATAGTGTATACACACAGTCTGTCAGTAATACTCATGTCAATGAAAGGTTCACTATCGTGATTAATAGTGTATACACACACTCTGTCATATAATACAAGAGTTGATAAACTCACCGTCAGAAAAGCTCTGATAACACAAGTACGCTATTGTGAGTTGATTGTAGATGGGTATGGGGTGCATAATAAATTAACTAAACTAACCTGTCTTGTTCAGTATAAGTAGAGGGGTTTTGTGTGTGTATATTAGTTGTTGTTTCATTTTGAGCTACTCAGAACGAAATATCCATGTAGCACGGGCTATGGCGAGCCCGTAATTGTGTATTAGTTTGTCCAGGTGTAGCTTTATGTGGGCCGGTGCTTGTCTGGGACTGTACGCATCTTGTTCATCATCCGTCAAAGTCACTAGATCACAATTCACAACTTTTCTAGGGCGCTCTAAGACACGCCTTTCCTCCACCACGGCTGCGTGCTGACTGCTGTGGGGTCGGGCTGAAATGTTGTTGTTTAAGATTTAGTTACCAGGAACATTGGTTCCAGGTAGCACGGGCTATGGTGAGCCCGTAGTGGACTTACCTGGCACAGGAGCGGGGCAAGTAGCACGGGCTATGGTGAGCCCGTAGTGGACTTACCTGGCACGGGAGCGGGGCAAGTAGCACGGGCTATGGTGAGCCCGTAGTGGACTTACCTGGCACGGGAGCGGGGCAAGTAGCACGGGCTATGGTGAGCCCGTAGTGGACTTACCTGGCACAGGAGCGGGGCTGTAACTGTCGGGCTGGAAGGTTGAGAGTTATTAGATAAGACTCTGGGTCGTCGGCGACTTGGGGTGACAATTAGCGTCCCTGAATACTGACTGGACGTGAGAGACCATTCACATAATTATGGAAGACGAAGGGCTCAGCTCGGCGCCACTGGGTATTCCTGTTTCAGCGTGGAAGCCTCTCGCCGTTTTTCACGTAAAACAGGTTGGCTCTTCTGTTTATAAAGGAAGTTTCAAAGCGGTCTTATTAACCGCCAGTAACGGACAATGTCTTATAGCCTGTTCACTAGGCCGGCGGATACTCTCCTCAGAATGGTTGATTACGTTGGAGTGCAAGGTAGACCCGTGTCTTCTCCACCTGAAGATGGAGTACAAGGTAGACCTGAGCCTTCTCCACCTGAAGATGGAGTACAAGGTAGACCTGAGTCTTCTCAACCTGAAGATGGAGTACAAGGTAGACCTGAGCCTTCTCAACCTGAAGATGGAGTACAAGGTACCTGAAGATGGAGTACAAGGTAGACCTGAGCCTTCTCAACCTGAAGATGGAGTACAAGGTACCTGAAGATGGAGTACAAGGTAGACCTGAGCCTTCTCAACCTGAAGATGGAGTACAAGGTACCTGAAGATGGAGTACAAGGTAGACCTGAGCCTTCTCAACCTGAAGATGGAGTACAAGGTACCTGAAGATGGAGTACAAGGTAGACCTGAGTCTTCTCCACCTGAAGATGGAGTACAAGGTAGACCTGAGTCTTCTCAACCTGAAGATGGAGTACAAGGTACCTGAAGATGGAGTACAAGGTAGACCTGAGCCTTCTCAACCTGAAGATGGAGTACAAGGTAGACCTGAGCCTTCTCAACCTGAAGATGGAGTACAAGGTAGACCTGAGCCTTCTCAACCTGAAGATGGAGTACAAGGTAGACCTGAGCCTTCTCAACCTGAAGATGGAGTACAAGGTAGACCTGAGCCTTCTCAACCTGAAGATGGAGTACAAGGTACCTGAAGATGGAGTACAAGGTAGACCTGAGCCTTCTCAACCTGAAGATGGAGTACAAGGTAGACCTGTGTCTTCCTTACCTCAAGATAGAGTACAAGGTAGACCTGAGCCTTCTCAAGCTCAAGATATTTATCGTGTACGAGGTTATTACAGTCCACGTAATAACCCAGGTGATTAGACATGATTTTCCTTAAAACATTGCTCGTTGCTTTAGAGGAGGGAGATGGGACGACGGTTCAACAGATTGGATGTCTGCCCTTTTTAGGGGCCTTGGCGTGTACATCATCATTTTCGCATGACGCTCGTTCGAGGCGCGTTAAATATGTCAGGGAGTGCTTGTAATTCCCAGGTAGAAACTGAATTTGTGCTGGCCCTTTAGGTGCTTGAATATGTACTGGCTTTATCGCGGACGCTTCTACCCGCCAAACACACACCGAAACTACGACGTTGGTACAACGTTCGAATATGATTTAACCCCTCCTAACCAGTTATAACAACCAATATAGCAAGTTGTAACAACGTTCAAATACGTCATAAACACGTTAAGCCAAGATGTAACAACTTTATTACAAGTTGTAACAAGCGGAAAATAGAGACAGTTTCGGTTTGTGTTTTCAGGGTAACGACCACTTCTACTCCCCTTAGGGGGTTAATGGTCACTTTCAGGGGTGGTTCTCTGTACCAGCTCTACCACTATCGCCCTACCACAACCTTGCTCGTCCGTCAGGCAGACAGAGCGGCTTGTCTAGTTGTCACCCCCCTGTCACCTATTAAGAAGGGAGACAGGCAGCATATGGAGACGGAGACTGCTCTCGGACGCAGGTTCGAAACCTCGTCACGGCCCTTGTTGATTTGTTCATTAGAGATGGAGACGTTTGATACCATTCCGTACGGGACGAGGAGTAATCCCACAGCGGTACACCATATTCTCGTCAAGTTATTAATAATTTGTCCTTTCTTGCAGATATAATGGTGGTACTGAGCTTGCTTGCACTCTCTCTCTCTCTCTCTCTCTCTCTCTCTCTCTCTCTCTCTCTCTCTCTCTCTCTCTCTCTCTCTCTCTCTCTCTCTCTCTCTCTCTCTCTCTCTGTCTCTGTCTCTCTCTCTCTCTCTCTGTCTCTCTCTCTGTCTCTCTCTCTGTCTCTCTCTCTCTCTGTCTCTCTCTCTGTCTCTCTCTCTGTCTCTCTCTCTCTCTCTGTCTCTCTCTCTCTGTCTCTCTCTCTGTCTCTCTCTCTCTCTCTCTCTCTCTCTCTCTCTCTCTCTCTCTCTCTCTCTCTCTCTCTCTCTCTCTCTCTCTCTCTCTCTCTCTCTTTCTCTCTCTCTCTCACTCGTGTGAGTCTTCTTCATTCTATTTCCTCCCCTCATCCCCTACTCCACCTATCCATCCCCCCTTTCACCGCCTTCCTATCCCTCTCTCACCCCAACCCCCTTACCCATCCCTCCCTATATTGTTGTTGTTTAAGATTCAGCTACTTGGAACAACAAGTTCCAAGTAGCACGGGCTATGGTGAGCCCGGAGTGGACTTACCTGGCAAAGGAACGGAGCTGTGACTGCATCCCTCCCTACATTGTCTTTCTTTTATAACAAGTTTCTCTCAAACTTTCACAGGTTGTGCCACCGAGACCCACACATGAACACACACACACATGAACAGACACACACATGAACAGACACACACATGAACAGACACACACATGAACAAGACACACACATGAACAGACACACACATGAACAGACCCACACATGAACACACACACACATGAACAGACCCACACATGAACAGACCCACACATGAACACACACACACATGAACAAGACACACACACATATGAACAGACACACACATGAACAAGACACACACATGAACAGACACACACATGAACAGACACACACATGAACAGACACACACATGAACAGACCCACACATGAACACACACACACATGAACAAGACACACACGCATATGAACAACAGAGACACACATAACCAACCCGTCCTCCTACAAAGAACGTCGTATTTCGCACGTAGGCGTTACATACGGCCAACAATCGTCGTACTGGAAAATGAAAGCGGCTGACAAGTGACTTTACTGTCCCGTTTTCTGTTGTGGGTCCTCTGGTAGGTTAGGAGCGCACACTTTAAACTGACCCGTTTTCTAGACGTTGGGGAAACCTTAGGAGGACGGGGCTGGATGAACAGACACGCACATGAGCCACAGACACGCACATGAGCCACAGGCACGCACATGAGCCACAGACACGCACACGAGCCACAGACACGCACATGAGCCACAGACACGCACATGAGCCACAGACACGCACCTGAGCCACAGACACGCACATGAGCCACAGACACGCACATGAGCCACAGACACGCACATGAGCCACAGACACGCACATGAGCCACAGACACGCACGCGGGCCACAGACACGCACATGAGCCACAGACACGCACACGGGCCACAGACACGTACATGACTCGGCCAGACACGGAAGAAAGGAAGACTGCAGAAGGCGTGTTGGTTTGCGCAAGGGAAGTTCCTTTTAACACCTTAACTCCCATATACGTCAAGGCATTTCTCACTCGTATGGCATCCCTGGCACTGTGACCCTTGGCACTGTGACCCTTGGCACTGTGATCCCTGGCACTGTGATCCCTGGCACTGTGATCCCTGGCACTGTGATCCCTGGCACTGTGATCCCTGGCACTGTGATCCCTGGCACTGTGATCCCTGGCACTGTGATCCCTGGCACTGTGACCCTTGGCCCTGTGATCCCTGGCACTGTGATCCCTGGCACTGTGACCCTTGGCACTGTGATCCCTGGCACTGTGATCCCTGGCACTGTGATCCCTGGCACTGTGACCCTTGGCACTGTGACCCTTGGCACTGTGACCCCTGGCACTGTGATCCCTGGTACTGTGATCCCTGGCACTGTGACCCTTGGCACTGTGATCCCTGGCACTGTGATCCCTGGCACTGTGACCCCTGGCACTGTGATCCCTGGCACTGTGATCCCTGGCACTGTGATCCCTGGCACTGTGATCCCTGGCACTGTGATCCCTGGTACTGTGATCCCTGGCACTGTGACCCTTGGCACTGTGACCCCTGGCACTGTGATCCCTGGCACTGTGATCCCTGGCACTGTGACCCTTGGCACTGTGATCCCTGGCAATGTGATCCCTGGCACTGTGATCCCTGGCACTGTGACCCTTGGCACTGTGACCCTTGGCACTGTGATCCCTGGCACTGTGATCCCTGGCACTGTGATCCCTGGCACTGTGACCCTTGGCACTGTGACCCTTGGCACTGTGATCCCTGGCACTGTGACCCTTGGCACTGTGATCCCTGGCACTGTGATCCCTGGCACTGTGATCCCTGGCACTGTGACCCTTGGCACTGTGATCCCGCCCTCTCACTGTGTTTAGTGGCTCCATACAGCAGATACAATGCCTGGAGTCTGCCTCCACAACTCTCCTCCACGTCCTTCAAACACTCAGCAAGTGGGTGTGTGTGGGCCTCACTTGTTGACTTACGGGTTATTCAAGCCCGTGCCCACCTCTTGGGTGGCTTAATCTTCATCAATCAATCATCACTTGTTGACGACGCGTACAAGGTGCGAGTACTTCCTTAACGACGTAAGGGAGCCGACGGCTGAGCGGACAGAACACTGGACGCGTGATCCTGTGGTCCCGGGTTCGATCCCGGGCGCCGGCGAGAAACAATGGGCAGAGTTTCTTTCACCCTGATGCCCCTGTTACCTAGCAGTAAATAGGTAGCTGGGAGTTAGTCAGCTGTCACGGGCTGCTTCCTGGGGGTTGAGGCCTGGTCGAGGACCGGGCCGCGGGGACACCAAAGCCCCGAAATCATCTTAAGATAACCTCAAGATATCTTTCTTCGGCTCGTTCGCGTATCCGGGCTTCACCTGTGTTCGCTTGTCCGAGTTTATCTCAACATAAAAGAGGCTGCTGCTCTTGTCCACCTTGTCGCTGCCCCTCCTCATTATCCAGTATGTTGTGATCATGTCCCCTCTCTCTCTGTTGCTTCTCTCTTTCAGGGTTGTGAGGTCTAATTCCCCTTAATCTATCCTCATAGCTTTGTGAGAGGGGAAGTGGAGGGGGGTGGGTGGGGGGTAGGGGTGCCAGTTGTCACGCATGACTGATAGCTCCCCCCACCCCCTACCTCCCCCCCCCCCACCCACATACCACCAGCTACCACAACAATCCCGTAAAACAACACCAAAAACAATATCACTTTACACTCAGGCCTCGTTTTTCAACATCACAATTTACAAGACGCATCAAATAAACAGAATAATACATACCGTGTTAGTTAAGAACCGGAACCCAGGAGCAATATCCCAACCCCTCCCCCCGCCCCCCACCATAAACAGCTGTAAGGAATGACCACAACTCCAGTTGCCAGTCTCTGCCCCCCCCCCTCGTTAAGAACACTGGTAAACAACCAGCAATTTTCACGTAAGATAAGATGTCATCCAATATTATAATGGGCAGGGAAGGGGGGGTTGGGGGGTGGGGCAAGACTAGGGGGTGTGGTGAGGGACTGAATGGGGGAGTGAGAGAAGATGGTGGATGGGTGGTAGTGGTTGAAGGAGGGGAGGTTGAGATAGGGGGGGAGGACTGGAGACTATTCATGATGAGATAGCCAAGTTGGGGGGTAGAAATAGCCTAAACTACTCTATTCCTTTGAGATGTATTTCTTTGTTATCTCAATAAACATACTTGAACTTGATAGCCAATCAGTCATTAAGGGATATAGATCCCTTTCTTCCAATCATCAGAGAATCAGCTTAACTTTTGTCGTGGACAAATTCTTTGACTCGATTATCGCAAAGACAATAATTACATTTAAACAAAAAAAAATAAAAGGTTTGACCCACAGTTATTTATTTTGTTCTCATTTTACAGCCTAATATACTCTGCTGCAGGTATATTAGGGGATGTAGAGGGCGGTGGAGGCTCTCCTCGTATGCGCGCTATGGCCAAAAAATGGACGTAATTTGAAATGAAATCGGCTCACGAAAGTGACGTTACTATCCCGTTTTCTATTTTGAGTCCTCCGGCTTACTCGGTTAGGTTAGCAGAGGACACTTTAGTTCGACAGTTTCTAGACGTTGGGAGCGCTCACGAGAACAGGCTGGGTGGAGATAAAGGCAGCAGATAACGACCCAAGACGCCCTTGAGACACAAACCATCACCAGCACATAGGAAATGTATATGTTTATCTCTCAGAATGTTTGGTAATATGTTTATTGTTTGTGATGTGTGTCTATGTATGTTCAGTACACGTTGTACTGAACGGGGTGAGAATAGCTTGAGCTACCTCATCCCTTTGTGTGTATTTTACCTCAATAAACTTATTTCAATTTCAATTTCAATCACCAGCGGCCATTTCAATCACCCTCATAACCATATCTTGAGATGATTTCGGGGCTTTTAGTGTCCCCGCGGCCCGGTCCTCGACCAGGCAGGCCTCCACCCCCAGGAAGCAGCCCGTGACAGCTGACTAACACCCAGGTACCTATTTTACTGCTAGGCAACAGGGGAATAGGGTGAAAGAAACTCTGCCCATTGTTTCTCGCCGGCGCCTGGGATCGAACCCAGGACCACAGGATCACAAGTCCAGCGTGCTGTCCGCTCGGCCGACCGGCTCCCATCACGAAACAAACACCATTTTGTCTAATGTTTGTGCTGACCAGCGCTAACCAAACTGCCCCATTATCATTAGTTTAGAACCGGAGCCCAGGAGCTATCTTAGAGTGCTGTTATCAGCTATCTTGGAGTGACGGATGAGCATCCACACCTCATTATCTCCCATTTATCTCCAAGTCATTACCTGGGCTAACTCCTGTAATATTAAAATATAACTATATTGTGTTAATTACACAGGTATAAAAATGAACAGTAATATGACAACATTATAATAGGGGACGAGGAACATAAACCGATTTGTGGACCATCTTCCATTTTAACGTCATTATACAAGAATGAGAAACAAAGTTACTTGTTACAGACTTGTCAAGTTCCTCCAGCTCCTCAGATGGTGGGGTAAGGAATCCCCTGAATACAGTGCGCATTTCCTCTCTGCCCAACCGCTGGAAAAGGAAGCAGCTGGCAGCTTTAGAGGTTACGACGAGATAGAACAAGCTTAGCTTAGCCGCCAACACCCATACATGGTGTCAGCAAGGCGGACAGCCCGCCTGCTTTCATACCTCTCACTATATTTCCCACTTCTATACTTCACCTATGCCTCTCCTTCCTCTTTACTAGCCCGGGTACAGCACGTACCCGGGCTAGTAAGTATACTGTGGTACACTGTACCACAGTGTACTTGGAGGTACACTGTGGTACAGCAGGGTACACACACACACACCAGGACCGTCATTGTAACACAGCATCTTATCTCTGAATTTCCTGTCGGCCAGTGAGATCATTCCACTACCCACAACCCAGCCCTCTCACCACACTCCTCCAGTACATGTGTACTCCAGTACAACATACACCACACATTCCACATCTACTACTACCACTATTACTACATCTACTATCACAACTACTCTAGCCTTTTGACGTGGGAATCGGTATCACTGGACAATCTTCGACACCCAGGTGAGTGCACACACCTGTATAATGCATACACACTCATTCCCACGCTTCACTGCCTGTATACATATACAGTATACACAGCTATACACGAGTATGCTACCTTAGGACCGTCCTCAACTCCCCCCCCCACCCCCCCCGCCCCCATCTTCGAAGGTGATGGGGTCAGCACAGAGCATCAGTTGCATCCCTTACGGGCTATTCATGCCCATACCACCTCTCTTGCGTAACTTAATCTTCATCCATCAATCAATCAATCACAAATAAATAAATTAACACAATCATTTGCAAACAGATAAATGGAGGGGTAGAAATAGCCTAAGCTACTCTATCCCTTTGAGATGTATTTTCTTGTCTCAATAAACGTACTGAAATAGATGAATAGCAGTTGACAGATAGACGCCACGATAGACAGGACCACCTGCGGTGGAAGACGTCACTCGACTCTGCGTCAAGCCCAAACGTCACGACGCAACTGACGGTCTCCCGGGATAACGAAATAGTTTGAGAATGCGTAATGACGACCTTTAGGAAAATTGGGCTCCAAGAGGAGGGTATGAACAGTGATGGTGAGGATAGTGGGATATCCCAGCGCCCCCCCCCCCACACACACACACACACCCACACACACACACACACACACACACACACACACACACACACACACACTTGGACTCTTCGGGATCCAAGAGTCAATGCTCGATCCTGCAAGCACATATAGGTGAGTACACACACACACACACACACACACACACACACACACACACACACACACACACACACACACACACACACACACACACACACACACACACACACACACACAGGATCCAAGAGTCAATGCTCGATCCTGCAAGCACATATAGGTGAGTACACACAGACACACACACACACACACACACACACACACACACACACACACAACACACACACACACACACACACACACACACACACACAGCGATTGACAAGTGTAATAGTCAAAATATTGGAAAAATAATTAAAACTAAATGGGTAGAACACCTGGAGAGAAATGATATAATATCAGACAGACAGTATGGTTTTTGATCTGGAAGATCCTGTGAATCGAATTTACTCAGTCTCTATTAAGAGGTTGTTCTGGAAACTGGAAAATATTGGAGGGGTGACAGGTAAGCTTCTAAAATAGATGAAAAATTTCTGACTGATAGAAAAATGAGGGATGTAATCAGAAGCAATGTATCGGACTGGAGAAATGTCACAAGTGGAGTCCCACAGGGTTCAGTTCTTGCACCAGTGATGTTTATTGTCTACATAAATGATCTACCAGTTGGTATACAGAATTATATGAACATGTTTGCTGATGATGCTAAGATAATAGGAAGGATAAGAAACTTAGATGATTGTCATGCCCTTCAAGAAGACCTGGACAAAATAAGTATATGGAGCGCCACTTGGCAAATGGAATTTAATGTTAATAAATGCCATGTTATGGAATGTGGAATAGGAGAACATAGACCCCACACAACCTATATATTATGTGAGAAATCTTTAAAGAATTCTGATAAAGAAAGAGATCTAGGGGTGGTTCTAGATAGAAAACTATCACCTGAGGACCACATAAAGAATATTGTGCGAGGAGCCTATGCCACGCTTTCTAACTTCAGAATTGCATTTAAATACATGGATGGCGATATACTAAAGAAATTGTTCACGACTTTTGTTAGGCCAAAGCTAGAATATGCAGCAGTTGTGTGGTGCCCATATCTTAAGAAGCACATCAACAAACTGGAAAAGGTGCAAAGACATGCTACTAAGTGGCTCCCAGAACTGAAGGGCAAGAGCTACGAGGAGAGGTTAGAGGCATTAAATATGCCAAAACTAGAAGACAGAAGAAAAAGAGGTGATATGATCACTACATACAAAATAGTAACAGGAATTGATAAAATCGATAGGGAAGATTTCCTGAGACCTGGAACTTTAAGAACAAGAGGTCATAGATATAAACTAGCTAAACACAGATGCCGAAGAAATATAAGAAAATTCACTTTCGCAAACAGAGTGGTAGACGGTTGGAACAAGTTAGGGGAGAAGGTGGTGGAGGCCAAGACCGTCAGTAGTTTCAAAGCGTTATATGACAAAGAGTGCTGGGAAGACGGGACACCACGAGCGTAGCTCTCATCCTGTAACTACACTTAGGTAATTACACACACACACACACTAACGCATTCCCCTCTTCCTCACTATCCTCATATCTGAGGACAGTTTGGTATCATCAATAGCTTTCACGCTATAATTTGTATCCCCTTGTTTCCCCTCAGCGGTGAAAGAGAGGAGATGAAGGAGGAGAAGGAGGAGAAGGAGAAGGAGGAGAAGGAGAAGGAGGAGAAGGAGAAGGAGG